CAAACACCAGCAGAATCTCAGCTTTTTTCGGTGCGTGTCTATTTGCAGGTCCATGTACTCATCATATACACATATAGCTTATTTTCTTTGGCCCTAAAGTACCTATATAGGGACTACGTTGAAGGCTAAGTACATACTGTCTGGGCGCATGGACCCTTAGGGGGTCTAAGGTTTAAGAAGCATCTGCAGACTGCAGGCAGTTACTAACGCAGGTATGGATGGGCTGAGGCGATGCGAGTTGCAACAGATCGTATCTACTCTACATGCACATTGGGAATATCTCTTTGGGAGTTAAGGTTGGGCCAATGCACAAGGTCTTGGGGAATGCCTTACAGCCCGATTGAAACGACATCTTTGTAGTCCATGTCAGATACCGAAGGCCTGTTTTGCTGTGTTCACGGCCTTCAGGATGTTGTTGAAGAAAGATCTGGAGGCTGTTGGTCTCTTACTCTTTGCTAGCTTTGCTGTGAACACGAAGTACCTACGACTATTCTGAACCTGATGCCAAATTTCAGCAATCTAAACTTGCTCACTGACTGGTCAGTCTTGAGCTCCGTGCAGGCTGCGAGTAGCTGAAGCCCGACTCTGCCGAGCGATGCTGAAAGCAAGGTGGAAGTTGGGTTTAGGGTTTAGGGGTTTAGGGTTTAGGGTTTAGGGGTGAGGTTGGAGCTTGAAACAGGTTAGTGTAAAATCGGGACACTGCAGATAGCAATGATGTCAACGATCCATGGTGTTATGTGGTAGCTGTACAGGGCAAGGGGTAGATCATACAGCGCAGGCAGGGTTCCGAAGATTGTCTTTTCTTGGCTACCTCGATTGGCATTAAGGCGTGCATGTGTGCACCTACTCACGAGCATGTTTGTAAACAACAAGGGTTTAGGGTTTAGGGTTTAGGGCCTGATACTGAGGCTCGGAGTCATCCGGTTCTTGAAACTACGCTGGATAGGACGCTCGTGGCGGTGTGAAGCCAAAGGTTCGTCGGTGATGTGAGGCGTCTCGCAGAGAAGAAGAAACCTCGACTGTGGGAGGCATTACCTCTTCGAGACTCTTTTTCGGGGCCAACTCCGCCTTACAATTCTAACTCTATGGTAACCCTAGTCACCCTACGCAAACCCCAATGCTTGGGGGCCTCTACAGTAGGCCCGAAAGTACAGTCTACAGAATAAAGTAAGTATCCAATCCCACAGCCCAAAACCCTGTATTTATGAACTGCCCCGAACACCAAAGGTCCCCACGCGACCCTTAAGGCTGTCCGTGTCCATAAGGCACAAGCCCTGAACCCCAATATAGAATCTTGATTCTTGATGCTCTAGCATAATTACCCCACAACCCCATTTTAGCCATGAGGGACCCCATAGTATGCCCTAGAAAGCCTGCTAGGACAGAACGTTTCAAAGAACCATTTTATTGAGGCGGGCCCCTCTGAAAGAGCCGGAGAGAGACCCGTCGAGACATCCAGGCATGACTTACGAGGAGTTGCGACTGCCCGAAGTCGGGGCCTGGGTGTTTTTTGGTGAGGGTTTAGGGTTTAGGGTTTCTGGGGTGTTCTAGGGTTTGTTTAGGGCGACTAAAACTTTCCAGGGTCTTGTCGCGAATTTCTGTATGGGGCGGCTGCGGCGGTAGTCGAACCGTTATGAACGGGTGAAAGGTTTCGTAAGGTTTAGGCAATAACAAGCAGGATCTTTTGTTTTTCGGGAGCCTTAAATCAGGTAGCCTTTTTGTTGCTGCTGTTGCTGCTGCTGTTGTTGTTGCAGCACTGCTTCCGTCATTGCTGCTGCTGCTGCTGCTGCTGCTCCTACTACTACTACTACTACTACTACTACTACTACGATGACCACGACGGCGGCACCGAACAGTTCTGGTCCCAGTCCTAGTACATGATGTAATGGTTCTGGTACTTCTCATGCTGGTGCTAGACTTGGAGCAAGCTCTCAAAAAGCATACACTTATCGTATCCTGCCGCCAGGTTCAGCCACCCTCACATATAGCTGAATTTGATATCCCCATATCGATTCCCGATGCTTTCGACATTCTCACATCTGGGCTATAAGCTCTATAGGCCCTTAATCTTAAGAGGCACTGCACCCTAAATCTAAAACGCACTCAACCCTAAACCCTAAACTCCACTCAACTGTTTGAGGTAGCCGGCCGCTGCGTGGCCTCTTGGGCAGCGACTTCCGCGTGAGGAGCAAAGCTGGTCGGTTTAGATTTTCGGACTAGGACTTGGGATTCTACTGTGGTTTAGGGTTTTGGGTTTTGGGTTGCATGGGGGTTTAGGGTTTTAGGGGTTTAGGGGTTAGGGCTTTCGGGTTACATGGGGTTTAGGGTCTAGGACCTTGGGATTCTACGGTAAGGGGAGTGGGAATTGCAGGTTTAGGGATTTCGAACTTTCTGGGTCTTTGTTGGATTCAATTTTACATGTTTGTTCGAGTAAAACCCAGCAAGGATTAAACATGATCATTCTTAATATATCCCCAACAATCCAGCTTTCAGGCTTCAATATGTGGTTTAGGCTGTTTAGCGTCCTAGAATTTGAAGTTCGGACTCGGGCTCTCCTGCGAAGCCTTGGGTGAAAAAATCCTGCCTGCCGCCTGGTCGTGGAGCCATCGGTCCCATCCTTTTAGTCTGGTCTAGTTATCTTGTAGGGACTATAATGGAACACTTACTTCTCATTCAGACCCCTACGGCTACGGTTTCAGATGTGCAATGGTGACAAGTCCAGGTCCTATCTGCGCAAGTAGACATTTCTACGAGAGGGAAGGGCAGTTTCCTCTTGCATTTGCAGGACGCCTCACCAATGGGAACAGCTGACTGCCAAATTCAGCTGCTCTTAGGTAGAGCTACCCCACCAAGCATCGGCAAGAAAAGCATGGGCAAATGGTGCCAAGCAGCTCCAATATCTGCACTGCACTTGTGATCCGACCTTTCAGCACGAAGTGTCTTCCTGCTCTCGAGCATCGCTTCTTGTCCGCGACCCTCGTTCTATTGGTTTTTGGGCTTAGGGTTTGGGGCACATAACTTGCCACGCATCGGCAGCTAGCAGGCAGCTTTTGCTCATTCTCTTGTAACAGAGAAGCCTCTACCTGGAACACTTTTTTTCAGTAGGGTTTCTGTCACTGCGCTTGGTGCCGAGTGATCACCGTCACCATTGAGAGGTCGAGCATGGGATTTTGGGGGTTTCAGGCATTGAAGTTTACAGCAGGGCCCTGGGATTTTGTGGTTGAAGCCCTAAACCCTACACCGGGAGGCCTCTGAAGCTTGGAGTTTAGCCGCCTTCCAACAAAGCGTAAGGTTCGTCTCCGCTCCTTCCTGGAACCGAGACGGGAGGCTCGAAGAAGCCCCAAGCCCCCGAGCCGCAGACCCTACAGGCTCAACCTTAACTCCCTACAGCCATCTATAATGGGACTTGAAACCCTAAACCCCAAAAACCCTAAACCTAAACCCCTAAACCCCTAAACCCTAGACCCTAAACCAAAACAAAAACCTTGCTATGCAACCCCTGAGCGAAAGCGGACCCGTCTGAGAACTCCGCATGTCGGAGACGAAGATCTCCGAGCCATGGCGCACCTCTCTTGCAGAGCTTCTGACGATGAGGAGTCGCAGGACTTTGGAGTCGAGGGCTTGGGGGTTAAGGACTTATAGAAGCCCTGTGCTAGGGTTTAAGGACTTATATAAGCCTTACAAGCAATAAAACCTCTCACCAAAGCTCCCCCACGCAAGAGTCTATAACCCTATACCCTCTAACCCGACACCCGAAGACACAGGACGTCAGAAGCCCTGAGCTCCCAACTCTGGTGACAATATCTGTACGGATTTTGGGTAGTGTAAGGTTCGTTACGTATCGGCTTCACAGGTTTTGATTTAGGTGCGTCAAAGCTGCCCCTGCTTTAGTTTCTTCGAGGATTTGTTCTGAGGAGTTGTCACTCTTTTGGGACTCTAAAAACCCTAAACCCTCCACCCTATGCCATCCATTGCACTGACACCGTACTCCTGGACCCTGATTGACGCGGTGTTGATTCTAATTCTTGTCGAATATACCCCGACACCCCAGCCTAATCTCCTAGAGCCCTTTCATTACGGGAGGATGGAGTTGACTGTGGTCCGGTATACATCTGCCATGGCTCAGACGCCTTGGTTGATGACTCTGCAACTTGGAAGCGTTTAGGGCTGTAGGGTCTGGGTGTGTGGCACGTTTTTATGCGTTTTAGGGTTTCAGGGTTTACGGTTTACGGGCTTGTGGTTTAGGGCGTGTTGTTGTTGTTGTGGTTGGTGTTGCTGTGGAGTGTTTGAAGTTGAAGATGTTTAGCGAGTTTCCCCTGGCTTTCTGACTGTCGGGTGAACGTCTTGAGTCTAAGTTATTTTGTTAGCCTATTGCTGAGTGTAACACCTGTTACTTCTGTGCTACGGCTACAACCCTACATGCTAAACCCTCGGAGAAAAGGTCACTACAGTCACTACACTTTAAAAGAAAGCCCCGAGGTACTACAAGCGTTAGGACCGTCTCAATCCCCGAAGGTTGGGCTTTTTGACCCATATGCCATGGGGTGCCTGTCTATGGTGGTTATACAGTGTTTACTTGTTAGTTGGTGTGCCATAAGCCCCAAAGCCCTATTCTAGTTTCCGGGTTCTAATATCATCCAAGCCGGCAAGTAAGGCAAATCCTATCGCATATGCACGGGAATCAGTGCCCTGGCAATTGCATCACTCTGAATTCCGTCCTCGCGGCGGCCACGAGATCTGCACGATGGGTCTTCGGCTTTCGGCTTCTGCAACATATGAAATCGGCTGGCGTGGTACCCAGCATCGTCTCATTCGGAACGGGGATCACTTTGAGCAGGGGCTTCAAGTGGCGTCAGGGCGTCCTCCTACTGCAGCAGCTTCCGAAGCGGTCGTTGCAACCAAACACGGTGACGGCCAATGCCGCTCTATCGTGCGTTTCAGCTGCAAGTGCTTCCAACACAGGCCATGCAGGAGAGGCGGCTGATGGCTGGAGCGCTGCAATGGACGCGTACAGCCAAATGCACCAACTGAGCATCGAAAGCAGTGTAGCGACCACTGGCTCTCTGATCCACCTTGCTCGATTCTTGAGACGATGGCAGATGGCTTTCCAATTCATGACACTCGAGAAGCAGCTCTGCACCGGAGAGCATGGCTCCGTCAGTCGGATCTCCTTCAACTCGGCTATCAGTGCCTGCGAAGCCGCGTCGCAGTGGGACGCAGCCCTGGGCATCTGTGAGTCCATGGATCGCGGCGATGGTGTGACCGTCAGCGCATGCATTTCCGCCTGCGAGAAGGGGCAAAGGTGGATCAGAGCAGTCGACCTCGCTCGGCTTTTGCCTCAAATGCTCATTGCGCCGAAACCCACCCGTGGTGATCTCCAATGTCGTGCCATAGCCCTCGCAGCGTGCATCAGTGCATGTGAGAAGGGCCTCCAATGGCAAAGATCTCTGCAAACGGCCTCTGATTTGCGGCCTTTTCTCGACTTCCAGAAGGCCTCCAAGACTCTTCCATACAATGCAGCATTGTGCTCCTTGGGCCGGAGTGTTCGCTGGGAACTGGCTGTGAGCATATTTCGCTGGCTTCCGATGTCTACTCTTCGGCCCAGTCTCGAGTCTCTGAATGCATGCGTCGGAGCCCTGCGCACCGCGCAGGAGTGGTCGAAAGCTATGTCAGCCTGGTTGACCTTAGAGCAGTCAGCTCTCATGCCATCAGTCGTAACTATGGCTGCATCTGCTGCCATAATCTCTGGCCGAGCAGCATGCAATGCTCTCATCTCTGCTTGTGCAGAACCATTGCGATGGAGAAAGGCCATCTGTCTCTTCGAGATCATCGGCCCTGATCCTAGGTAGGCCACTGGGATATGTGTTTTTGTTCCGTCTGTGTGAACAAATGAATCCAAGCTTGATTGAAGAAGGCTCCCAGAGACTTTGGAGCTTTGAAGGGCCATCCCTAAACCCTATAAAGGCCAACCCAATATAGGGACCCAAATAATTACCAAGATGATTTTGTTGGGAGGGTTCCTTATTATGGTTAAGCTATAATATAATGAGCCCCAATACCCTATATATTCTGATGAATAAGGCCCCCATCTTAGGATCACATCTCCTTCAACTCACTCGCCTCCGTGCTGGAGAGAAGCCGCTTGTGGCATCGGACCCTCGGGCTCCTACCTGAACTGCGCGCGCGGCTGTTGGAGCCTGATCCCTTCACCAAGGACAGAGATCTGAAAGTGTAGGGTTCTATGGAGAGACCTAAGTAAATTTCAATGTTGCTCCTTAGGGTTCCTTGTGTGTGTATATATATATATATGAGAGAGGCTCCTCTAGGGTCTATTT